TTTGCACAAGGGATGGAGGGACAGGACAAGGGGGACTGGCTTCCCACTGCCAAAGGGCAGGGTTAGATGGGATATTGGGAAGGAATTATTCCCTGTGAGGCTGGTCACACCATGGCACAGGTTGCCCAGAGAAGCTGTGGCTGCCCCACCTCTGGAAGTGTCCAAGGCCAGGCTGGACAGGACTTGGAGCAACCTGGGATAGTGGAAGGTGTACCTGCCACTGGCAGGGGGTGGAACAAGATGAGCTTTAAGGTCCCTTCCAATCCAAACCAGTCTGGGATTTAATGATTCTAAGAGCAGACACCCAAGGGTCAAGGAGCATGTTTGGACATTTTCTCCTCCTATGTCCTGCCCTGTGTGCAAAAAGGGACCCTTTGGCCTTAAACATGCGCTTTGGCATGGGAACCTTGTCCTGTTTTTTTACCATTCAGTATCTGAAAAGTGATGTGGGAAAATGAGCCCAGCAATAAAGATTTGGTATAATATGTTTTTAATGTAAGGAAGATCTCAGCTGAGAATAGTTAGGTGGGTAACCTCTATCCATTCACCACTGGCTTTAGAGGCTGCCTCTTTCCATTTTACAAGGCACATCACCAGAAAGCAAATACTGAACATTCACTGCATTGCCACTCTGAATCAGACCTGCATTGTCTCCCTCTGGGAGATGAATGAGCAGCGAAGAGAACCTGGAATTCTGCTGGCAAACCCCAGTTCTGGGCTGTAAGCAGTGGATAATCCTGTTGCTTACATGAATGTTTAAAATACTCATTCTGTGCACCTAAGAGAGATTTACCTTGACAAGTTTGCACAGACATGAAAGTGATGTCAATGCTATCCAAACAGTGTCTGCTCTGAAAGGAGATGACTGACAGACTGTTACCTCCTATTTGTGAGGTGAAGGTTTCTGCCAACATTGTACTGCTGCAGCACACAAACAACCCTCAGCTGAGAGCTCCATACATTAGTTTTGTATTTTCTACAAAGGTCATAATAAACAGCCCTCTTGAAAGCTCTCACTTTGCACATAGCAACAGACTGGTTTCCATTCAGAATAATAATAATAAAAAAATAAAAAAGAAGTCCTTGAACTGTGATTTGTTTGCAGCACAATATGAATTCCTAGTGAATGTGGGGAGGGTGGAAAAAAAACCTTTGGTAAGAATCAAAAAAGACAAGCTGTCTCTCTGTGAGAATTACTGTTGGTCATGTTTGAGATGGAGGAGGGATCTTGGGCCTCTAAAGCCAAAGGGGTGGATTTTGTCCATGATCCAGTAGGAGTGCTCAAAAATGTCATACCCTGGTGTGTCAGGTACTGAAGCTCCTTGCAGCTCAGTAAGGGGGGGACAAACATGTAAATTCATGTACATGGAGGTCTGTGGGGAGCAAAAGGACCCCTCAGTTCTGTGCTTTTCCTGGGATGAACATGGGAAGCAGGAATGACTGACTGGTACCACCTCTGGCTGCTGCAATGTGTCATGACACTGGAACTGTGTGGTCTGAGTTTTACTGCATAAGTGAATCCATCAGCGTGGTATAATCTGGTTCAAAGCTTTTTCACGCAAATGCCTAATTTTTGAAAAGCCAAGTGGACCACAGCAGTGAAGGTAAGTTCATCACAGAACCCAGACTGGTTTGTGTCAGAAGGGACCTTAAAGCACCTCACACCTTAAAGCACCCCCTGCCATAGGCAGGGACACCTTCTACTATCCCAAGTTGCTCCAAGACCCATCCAACCTGGTGTTGAACTCTTTCAGGGATCCATTCTGATGTGAACTTTTAAATGGGTGTCTACAGAACGAATATAACTTAACAAGAACAAGGTATATTCAAAACAATTTCTTCTGAGAGGTGAAACACATCTTTTAGAGTATGGACAGGTGTGGATCTGCACAGACGAACCACACACTGATGGCCTTATAGAAATTTTGGTTATCTCACAACACAACTGTGCTTCAAGGAAGGATTTCTAACATCATCCCATTAACTAGGGGAAAAGCAGAGCTTTCCTCCCTCTGGCTGAAATTGCCCAGCCTCATGTATAAAGCAGAGGCTCATTGAGATACAAAAACATCCTGTTTTCATGGCTTTTGGATCGCACTACCTTAAAATATTGTACAGTCCATAAATGCAATCCTACCCTCGGTTCATTTATAATCCCATTTATTTTTGGAGAATCACTTCCAATCACAAAACTGTAAATTCCAAAGCAGTATTGGAGGTCTGACTACCCAAGGCAGTTTCTTCATAAACATGAGTTAACCTGGAGTTGAAGTGAGTTACAGGGCTTGTCCTGGGACAGTCAAAAGGCATGCGCCACACGTACAGCCCTTGGACTCTGAAAAAAGAACAAGGTCAGGCAAAACCCCCACTCTTCCAAACAGTTAAGTATTTCCATAACTTTCTTTACAACAGTTTGTAAACCTGAAGCACTCACCACACTGTTTAGCTCATAACCTGTGTGTGACAAGACCACTTTGGCTCTGGTGCAGGACCAGGATTTGTTCTTGCAAATAATTATCTCCTCTCCCTGTTGGGAACATTATAAACTATTCTGACACTCCTGCCTAGTACTGCCAGCAAAGAAAAGGTTATATTGCCTCAGGTCCCAGAACAAGCATCATTTCCTCACTTGCATACCCAGACCAAATGCAGTGCCTAGATTCTTATATGTGAAGTCCTTGGCAAGGCAGCCCTCTGGAATGTGAAAAGATAACGGAACAGAAAAGGAAAGGAAAAAGTTTTAAATGCTTAATGGTGACAACAGAGATCTGTCAAACTCAAGTAAACTGACACACAGCACTGGGCACTTGTTACCAACTCACTTCAAAACTCCATGGATCTAAAACTGAGAGACCAGATGAGGTTGAGGCCTGAAATTAGGAAGTCAGATATTCCTTTATTCCAATCCAGTGGTGATAAGCAAAGCATTAAAAGATTATTGTGTAAAGGTGGGGAAAGAGTCAAAATTCTTCTATCATTCCCCAACCTACATTTCAAAAATACAGAAAGCAGAAATGATTAAATGTGTAAGTTAAAAGCAAAATTATACAGAGGATGTCAGCTGAGATTTGATGAAACACAAGGGAAATAACATACCAATTTCTGACCCTAAACAGACTCTTGCTGAAATCCCTGGGAATATTTTTAAGGGACCCTGAGGATGAAACTGTTAGAATTGAGGGTGTGGTACAGATCAGGGTGAATTCACTCTGCAAAGGGGAACACACCTTCAGGGAGGGATCTATGCAGCTCAACAGCTCCTTTACAGTGGACTGGTGCAACCAATCCTGCACCTGACAGTGAGTGAGGGGACAGGTCCATACAGAAACTGGGGGAGACAAGAGAGGTTGCAGGACACACCGGCTTAAAGAACAGCACCACAAGGAATGTAACGGAACACCTTCACACTCACTTTTTGGAAACACAAAATCCAGAGCTCTGCTGAAGCTTTCACTGAAGCAGCTGGATTCCTGAGGGAGAATGAATTAGTTGCAAGGAGCTGCTATACTGAGAAAAGCCTACTTTTATTTAAAATTTTTATTTAAATAAAGTTTAAATTGATAAATTTTTTTTTTTATTTTTTTGTTGAAGACCCTCCATCCTTATCAGGAGGAAGAAAAGGGCAGTGATAGTTGCAGCACACATCAGCTGAGAAACAACCAGTGGATATGAAGAACAGAATACAAAACTTGTTAGAACAGTTAAAAAGGGAAGAAAAGCTACATCCTGAAGGAATCAGTTGGAGATTTTTGTCCTACTGCTGCGGAAAAGCAGGGAAGGAACGCTGCAGCTTCTAGCCCGATGGCTTGTGGGACAGAACAAACATATCATCAAGCACAGATCACTTCTAAGACTTAATTGCTACTCAAATAAATGTGTCAAAAGGCTTACACAGATTTAGTTTGTAATTTAATTACAGGATTAGCAAAGTTATCTTTTCCAGTGTAGGAGCTATTAAGAATAGGAACTTGCATAGAAGATCAGCTCATTTAACACTTAATTGCATTAATAGAGCCTGCATTAGGTGAAGTACTGCAAATAGAGTGCAGTACTTCCCTTTATGCAGAAATAATTTGCTGTGCAATGAGATGAACTCAAGGTGTACATAAAACACAAACAAGGGGAGCATAAACATGACAGATACCAGCTGTGGGGAAGCAGGGTGGTCCCACTGGACACTGCTGCCTAAGAGCTAGGAATATCCTTAGAAAAGCCAGCTCAGCATATCTTGGTGTTGTGTTCTTAGCATTATTAAAACCTAATTGCTTTGAGATCAGTTTTGAAAGAAAAAAATCCAAATTACAAGTCCATCACTCCCCCGTGATGCACTTTTTGGGTAGACTGGATTAAACTCGGACAAAAATGCTGTTTCGAGGCCTTATTCTTGATTATCCCCCATTCCCCTCTTTGATTCTCCTCCTGAAGCCCTTGTTTTTCCACTGAGTGAGTCTCCCAGGCACTCAGGGTCTGACCAGCTGCTGGAGCTGTCACATGCCAGGACACACCTTAAGAAGAATCCTCAGCCTTCCCACTGCAAAACAAACACCTGCCCAGTGCATCCCATCTTGTGGCCTTGTCCTCTGTGATGGATCATCCAGGAAAACCAGACCCTTCTCTCTCCCCTCCTCTCCAGCACTGGGAATCCAAGTTGACTAAACATCCCAGACCTTGAAGGGGCACAACAGGTTCCTCTGCCCCTCTGTTTTGTTCCCTCCTCCTCTGAATAAGAACTACAAATGTGTGCTCACACAATGCATGAAATGTTCTGGAACGCCCCAAGACAAGAGTCAATTTCTAATGCGATATGCAGAAAAAATATGCAAAGAGGAATATTTCAGTATGTAGGCAGAGGGAAAAGCTCAGTACTTGACTAAAACTTTTATTTAATGTTACATAAGACTGAGATAATTATATCTAGTAATCTTCCCAGTATTCAGGACACTCTGAGTTTTAAATCACCTTAGATATTTGGATTATTATGATAAAAAAATGCCAACATCGATTTCTACTTCTTTATTGCAGATTGTGCATTTGATATCTGCCGTGTGTTGTGTTTTCCAATCCCTTCTTTCCCAAAAATCACCCATTTTCCTATAGTATAATAAAGTCATAAAAAGTGACCGCTTGAAAAATAAAAGAAAAAGGGCTAAAAATTCTATTAACATCAAAAGCATTTTTCATTATTATTACTAGTGGCAGCTACCAGTATTCTAAATGAAAATGACCTTATTTTATAACACCTAAAAACCCACTTTTACTTACATGGAAACTTTTGGAAGGAGGGCAGTAAAAAAAAAAATAAAATTACAGATTCCTTGCAAGTTCAAAAGAACATAAATATTTGAAAACTATAAATGTCTTATGTCTCTCCCCACAGTTCACTTACGGCTTAAATCAGAGAAACATACAGCATAGCCTGCAAGGCCTTGCATCTTACACATAAAGATAATTGTTTCAGAAATTGCTTAAGATTTTTAAGAAATTAGGAAAATATCCTTTGCTTTCTACCTGTCTCTGAGCCTAGGCAAGGAAAAAAAATCTATAACGTAATTAGGGAAGTCCCACTACTCTCAGGGCAACACAATCCACCAAACCTTTATTTCCCTAGGAAACACACTTTTATATCAGAACTAGTAAGGTATTTATACTAAAAGAATAGAATAAAATTCTCAACAATTTTACATTTAGTAGAAATATTTTTATAATTTACTTTCAGAAAGATTTCATTAACAAACATTAGCTTCATTGCAGAAAACACACTTTATTGCAATACCTGACTGAGCTGACATTTCAGTGATCTTTAAATTGATTTATACACTTTGTAAACATATGTGGTAGGCGAATTCATGTAATTTCTATAAAAACTGCTGGAAAACTTTGCAACACAAAGAGAAATCCTCTAGAGAATTACTTCAGTGAAAGATGTTGTCTGCCAGCAAAAGAGGTAATTGTACTGGTAATGTATTTTACCCTACATATTCTGTAATGACTTTTTTTATATAACCAAACACACAAAGACAGTGACAGTGAACCTAGCCCTCCCTCTCTTTCTCTCTCATCAAAATTCTCTGCCAGTTTTGCTGATCACCTGTGGCACTGTGATTTCTGAAGGCAACACCTTCAAGACAAGATGCACAAAGGCATTAAAATTTTTCTGTTAAGAACAGAGAAAAGAGAACAACGAAAAAGCTCAAGAAAGTGATGAACACCACCTTTAAAAAAAGGGGTAAAACCCATGAAGTCCAAAAGTTTTTCAAGCAGACTGCACCTTCATGTATAGCAAAAAGCTGTATTTTTCATATGAATGTTAAATTTTAAACACATGAATACCATGCTGATACAGCAGTAGGAGCTAATGCCTTATGCAGGTTTCCAAGAATATTAATATTTAGACAACAAGATTTAAACATTCGTTTCTTGAAGCAAACCCAAGCCTAGCATGAATTCCCACTATGACAAAGACCCATCTAAGCACAGGTCGCTCTTCTTTAACCTTACACCTTAAACGTATAGAATCAAACCTGCTGACTCAGCACACACACAAAACTTTGTTACTCTGATGTAAAAATAGAGCACATCTCCAGGATGATTCCACTACCAAAACTGTATTTTAAATTCTTTTTAGGATGAAGTCTAATCATAGAATCCGCCTAGTTGGAAAAGACCTCTGAGATCATCAAGTCCAACCCTTGATCCAACACCACCGTGGTTACTAGACCGTGGCACTCAGTGCCACATCCAGTCTCATCTTAAAAACCTTCAAGGATGGAGAAGCCACCACCTCCTTGGGCAGCCCATTCCAATGCCTGATCACTCTCTCTGTAAAAAATTTCCTCCTAATAGTCAAACTAAACCTTCCCTAGCACAGCTTAAGGCAGAGCCCTCTTGTCTTACTGCTGGCTCCTGAGAGAAGAGACCGACCCCCACCTGGCTACAACCTCCTCTCAGGGAGTTGTAGAGAGTGATGAGGTCTCCCCTGAGCCTCCTCTTCTCCAGGCTAAACAACCCCAGCTCCCTCAGCCTCTCCTCATAGGACTTGTGCTCAAGTCCCTTCACCAGCCTCGTTGCTCTTCTCTGGACCCGCTCCAGCACCTCAATGTCCTTCCTGAACTGAGGGGCCCAGAGCTGAACACAATACTCAAGGTGTGGCCTCACCAATGCTGAGTACAGGGGAAGGATCACTTCCCTGCTCCTGCTGGCCACACTGTTCCTGATCCAGGCCAGGATGCCATTGGCCTTCTTGGCCACCTGGGCACACTGCTGGCTCATGTTCAGCCTCCTGTCAATCCAAACTCCCAGATCCCTTTCTGCCTGGCTGCTCTCCAGCCACTCTGTGCCCAGCCTGTAGCGCTGCAGGGGGTTGTTGTGGCCAAAGTGCAGGACCCGGCACTTGGCCTTGTTGAACTTCATTCCGCTGAAATCAGCCCAACTCTCCAGCCTATCCAGGTCCCTCTGCAGAGCCCTCCTACCTTCCAGCAGGTCAACACTCCCCCCCAACTTGGTGTCATCTGCAAATTTGCTGATGATGGACTCAATCCCCTCATCTAAATCATCAATAAAGATGTTAAACAGAACTGGGCCCAGCACTGATCCTTGGGGGACACCACAAGTGACCGGCCACCATCTGGATGCAGGGATGTGCTGGAACTGCAAATAAAAGAGTAATAATAATCTAGAAATATAAAAAGATAAGGCCAGCTTCTCATCTCTCTCTCTGAGTACAGCGAATAAAACAGTAGCTTTAGTAATTGGCTTGCATGTCTAAGAAACCTTACTGGGATAGCAAAATAGCCTCCACTGCTGGATTCCACAGGGCTAGAAATGAACAGTTGTTTCCAGTGTGATCACAAATATTACAACTGCTGTGATTGCTTTGTTCTCAAAAGTATGAGCAAACAGCAATACCAATGTCTGCACTTAATTGTATTTCTTCACTTTTTTCACTGCATCCAGGTCTTTTTTTTCCTGTCAGAACATAGTCTGAATGCTCCTTTGAGGGAAAAGACTAAAAGCACATTTAGCACATACAGGAATTTACCAATGGCTCATTTATTCTCATTGATGACTCTGGTTAGAGGCCTTCAGATCCAAAGCCCTGCATCTGTGCACATTAATAAAAGAGTACTGCATTCATTATGCTCCACAATGCCTGGTTTAGATAAACACACGTGTGTAATCACACCTTGACAGACTAATTTTCCTCTTCAGCTCTTGCAGTTTAGGTCAAGGCACTGCAGGGTCTGGAAGGAGGAGCTCACATTGATTGCTGCTATCTGAGTGGCAGACAAAGTATTTGTTTAAATAATGTTTTGCCATATCTGAGGAACCTGGAGAGAAGTGTTTGGTTAAGGTTAGCAGTTGGTTATGAGAGGTAAAAAAATTGCACCCTTTTCTGCAGTCCTTCAAGAACAAGCTGCTCCAGTGTGGGTCCCTTCACAGGGTCAGTCCCTCAGGAACACGTCTGCCAACATGTCTGCCAACATCATGCAACATATTTTACCTGGTTACTTATAAGGGAAAACCAATTTGGATATCACGTTCCCATGTGAAATTTGGCCTTGATAACTGGAAATAAAAAAATTAAAAAGCACTTCTGTATTTTTCAGCTTTGCTCCATCCTTGACAGAGCACTGGCACAGCGTGCTGCACCAGCTGCACAGTCTGAATTGCCCCTTTCACTCACCCTAAAATACTCCAAGATTATTTAGGCATTAAGTCTTTATCCAGACCATGCCAGAGTGGGACAAGATCAGGAGCAAAAGGTACTCTAAAAAACCAGTGAATTTTGAATGCATTACCACTGGAAAACCAAAAAAGGTCTTGCTATAGTGCCCACTCTTACCACTTGCACAGCAATACAGCACAGTTGAGACTCAGCTACATTTTCTAACAAAGAGAAATACTTCTTTAGAAATTGAAGTACAATAAAGATGAAACACATTATTTTATTTATAAAATATTTACCTAATAATTTACCAGTAATTTTTTTCATGTTTTCTAAACATATTCAATCCAACGCCAGTTGACATTTTGCAATTAAGAAGAAGGATGAAAAGGGATGTGGAGAGAGAAAATTACACACAATGCAGCATCTCTTATCTCTCAGAAGGCAAAAAGTCAACTTCATGCACTTAGAACTACACCCTGATAGAATCTATTAGTCTCCAGACCTATATTTTGCACCTCCAATATCTTCCATCTTTAACCATGATCTGAGGATTAAAAACTGTCCTTTTTTTCATCTTCAGGTTCACACATACTTTTCCACTTCCGCAGTTCCTGAGAATCATTTATCTTCCATGCTTCAGCAAAAGACTTCATTTTCTTTCTGAAAGAGCAAAAAAAAATAATCAAAATACAGGCATGTTTTTAAATGAAGCACATCAAACCTTGAAAGCCCTACAGTCATCTGCAAAATTTTATACATAGTTAAAAATAGTACAGCTTAAAATGTTATGTGATCTTCAAACAACCAGTTAATATTTTCTAAGATACATGTTCCTGCTCTAGGACAGCCAACAAATTAATTTTATAACTAACTTACAGTACAAGAAGTATTGACAAAATGATGACAAAACACTGAGCAAGAGTAAATTGTTAAAGGAAATAAACAGCATTGTAGTTGGCACTGTTTAATTTTCACCACTCAGTCCTTACAAATTTGCACTTGTAGAATCATAAAGAGAAAAGGTATTTTCAATATAAACAAGTGCACACATCCTTCCTATTTTCTTCTTAGTGTTTTTTGATTTATAAGAGCTGTGACAAATAACAAGACATTTAAAATGGGATAACACACATTCCTGACGACAAAGATGTCAAAACTGGATGAAATTATCCAGTGGATTTTCTGAAACAATATGAACATGATTTGAAAAAATAAGACAAGGCATCTGGCCCGTGGGTATTGTGAGAGCACAAGTGCACTGCAGTGAACAGGTCTGAGGTTGACTTGCAAGACTATGGTTATTTTATGTACCATACCCACTTTTAACGTTGTTAATATCTCTCTTGGGAAGAAGGCAAGGGAGTCCCTGGCCCTAGTGATGAGGCAGGACAAAGGGCTCATCACAGTTTTAGAGTAAGCATTTGTCCTTTTTCACTCTGAGAATATAAGCGAATTACCTACCGAAAACTAAAATACAGATGGCAGCTTTTATATCCAAAAGCTGATAAATGGGACACAATCAGGTCCCTTGATTACCACTGCTCCGTCAGCCCTCACTTCCCCTCTCTGGCCACTCTAAATCAGGATTCCAATTACATCATCCCGTACTATTTTTACTGCTCATGGCTTTTGTATGCAATTAACTCCCTTTTTAGAAATGAAGACATGCTAGAACTTTCTTGTACACTGTCCAAGTAATATGCTGGTAGAATTTTTACAGGAAAAGATAAATGAAAGGGATATATTACATTATTTCACATTTTAGCTTTATTACCAAGTAACTCTGCCCTTCCAGCTCTCACTTTTCTGAAAATTTTTTTCTTGATTTTAGAACCTTATGTAGCCTATAACAACAGAGTTAAGATTTTGCTAGTAATTTGTTGTTTAACTTATGTCAATAATGGACTATTCTTTCCAATTAACATAAGCTAACACATTATTTCTCCCATAAACCGCCATTACCTTCAAATAGGAAGTTTTTATTTTGCTTTATTAAAAGGGTATAAAAATCACTGTTAGGCACAAAGAATTGTTGAGTTTCAAAAGAACTGTTTGCACCTATAAGTAACTAGTTTGCACCTATAAGTAACTAGTAGTCACAATGTTCTCACAGCAAATTATTCTGTCAGGATTAGCTACAGTCATAGATAACCAAGATCTTGATTTATTATTTTCCTAGAGAGGCTATTTGAATTTTGGTCAGAGGGCTGCCACTGAAAATAATAACAACAAAAAAACCCCCAGTGGAAATGAATATGAATATAGCAAATATTTATATCTAAACTGTGTACACAGTATCACAAGATTTAGAAGGAATATTGCTATTTGATACATATGCAAATTTTCATAACTAGTGCAATATATAAACTGGATATCAGAAAAATGTTAAAATCCCCAAACTTTCAGTAAAAATGGACTGCTTAGGGAGCAACCAAAATATATTATAAATATTTTCAAGTTAAATCAGATGAAGAATATCCATGTTCCCTTCTACATTATAATATGCAAACACAGTTTCAGGTTCCAAAGTTAGTAAGATACTTCCTAAATCAAATTAATTAATATTTTCAGGATCACTTGTGAGAACAGAAGTAGGCATTAGAGAAGGAAGTAATTTTTAAAAAGTAACAATTGTTCTGACCTTTTCATATTCACTATTCTTTCCAACTCCTTTGATTTGTGAGCTGCCTTCTTCAAGATTTCTTCAGGAATATCTGCCAGTTTGGCAACATTTAGCCCATAACTCCTTGCAGACATTCCTTTAGTTATTTGATAAAGAAAAGTGATAAATTCAGGATTCTCTTCAACTTCAGATCCTAAAAAATTAAAACCAAAGTCAAAACCTCCTCTGTGAGGCAAATACAGAAGTTCCCTGTCCTGACTGGCTCACAATATAAGCACATAATACAGTAATAAGCATTATTTAGGGGAAAGGTTAATGGCAAATACCATGGCAATTAAAAAAAAAACACAAAAAGTTCCAAGGATGACTTGGGGAACAAGCCTTTATGATGCCTCCTATAATTCAAGAATCATAGCATCATAGAATTAGTTGGATTGCAAAGGACCTCTGAGATCATCAAGTCCAACTGCTGATTCACTACCACCGTGGTTACTAGACCATGGCACTAAGTACCATCAAGTGAAGGCACATGTTTGAAAACAATGAAGAGTTCTGATGTCCACAGACCACCAAATTTTGGATCTCCTTGACACAGAAGAATGAAGACAATAAAGATACAAGAATAAAGATACAAGAATAAACTGGGCAGTCTCACTGAAATGAAATCCAAAACACAAAATACAGAACAGCAGGAAACACAACTTGCTTTTAAAGACTCATAGAAGGAGCTGCCATATGTTTGATACCTAATCCCTGCTTCCTAATCCTTTGTGTTTTGCTGCTCTGGAAAGTTGGATGCTAGGCTGGGTGGATCTTTCACCTTGCTCAGTCATATCTACAGTCCCAGAGACTCACTCAGGTTTATACTGTACCTTTTTGTTCACCGGTATCCTCCTCACTCACCAGGAAAGCCATGTGGTAATTACCAACTTTGTCTGGATACAGTTTCTCCAGCTCACAAACAGAGGGATAATGAGTGACAAACAGGGTCAGGGACTCCACCTACAACAACAAATAGACACATAACAAGGTTTGACTCTAATTTTTTTTTAAACACAGAATCACAGAACTGGTATTTTTTATCCACAGTACTTCGCTATGAACTAAGACATGCCACATTTTTACAAGGAAATGCCAAAGTCAGCCTGCCAGGCTGAAAAAGCGTTCACACCCATGTGCCAGATGAACACTTACATCTCTAATGAAGTGTTCAAGTGTAGCATAAGCGATGGCAATTCCATCGTGTGTGCTTGTCCCTCTGCCCAACTCATCCAGGATCACCAGGGATCTTGGAGTGGCTTTTCTTATTATCTCGGCAGCATCTGTCAGTTCTTCCATGAAGGTACTTCGGCCTTTGTAGATGTTGTCTGCTGCTCCCATTCTGCATTGGGACACAGAACACACCAGCTTGTGAAAAGTGCCAGGTAATGCTGGGAAATAAACAAAACATGATGATGAAACCATTTTGACATAAATCTCCTGTTGCTGCTCCAAGCAGAGCAGAAAGACCCTGCCAGAACATTCACCTTCCAGAACAGCTGCTCGGCACACTATTTTCCCACCTTCACAAACAGTCCAGAAAGGACCTTGGGAATTCATGCCAGGCAGCTCATGAGAAGAATTCCAGCAAAGATAGCTATAAAGATGACTTTTACTTCTTTGGTTTAGTTTGATCATCTAATTTGTATATAATACCCAAAAATATCAGATACTGGCATTTCCATATGGAGTGGGCTCATGTCACCAGGTATTTGGCATACAAACACACAGAGCAGTTATTTCCTTCAGGAAATAACAAAAAAAACAATAACTTCCCCTAATTACACAGGTGTACAATCTTAACCGGCATGCTTAAACATGATTTTAAGAGATTTTAAGATTTTTTTTTTCCTCCTCATTCTTTTAAAACGCAGCTGTCCTTGGGCTCAGAAGCCTCCAGCAGGTGAGCTCCCCACACACAAATTCCTCCACATTTCATATAACTCTTTTATGCCCGTTTCAGACTCATGTAACCCTCAATCCTCAAATTCTACCTCAAATTGCGATTTTGCAGTTTTCATCTCAGAAACTTGATGAAATTGTTAATCCACTCTCTTCTCTTTTTCTGCAGCTTTCCTTACTTGTTCAATTAATACACTTCCAGCTGGAAGAAAGAACATTTTCTTTTTCCACTTATGCTTTTTAATTACGTTAATCTCTTTACAGCATCCTTCTGAGACAGGTTATCACCAGCCACTGATTAGGGATGTAAAACTGGGTTTATTCAGTCTCATCAGCCAATATATAATTACATACAAACCACACTGATTTAAGGAAAACTGACTCATGGGTTTAGTATATTGTATTTTCTGAATTAAATATATAATTCAGGATATTGAGGCATTGTGAAATTAACATTTTATTAAGCTACTTACTGCTGTAATCCTTTTAAATGCTGGGTTAAGAACGATGTACATACTAAAGAATTTAATATTATTTTAAAGAATTTAAGGTCCTGCTGTAAAATCAAACAATTCCCCTTCTCGCCCAGATCTAAAGAGGACAATATAACTGGTCTATTTTAACACTATTAACTACAAATATGTTCACCAGAATGACAAATACTTTTTATGTTTGAACAATCTCTCTCCATAATAGGGAACTTTAACCTTAGTTTCCAACCCTAGAATTATCAGTATTATTATTTTCTCGCTATTTATTTGTCTTTTCATCACAGAGGTAGCATCTAACAGGCTGTGTGTGTTTGTGGTGATTACACTGAGAGCTCTCAGATCTATTTATCTCTTGGACTGCAACATTTCCAGAGAGTCAAATCATTTAGCTGTTTTGTATCTAATTTGCATTCACAAAAATAATTTTCAGAACTTCCACACTAAATGTTCAAGATACAAACAGAAAAAGAAATAAGCATTATCTTTCCCTTGTTGTTAGAGACAGCTGCAAAAGAAGCCTTTCTTTTCAGCATCCTAAAACATTCAAATCTGACTCGGGCTTATCTACAGATTAAAAAAATTGGTGTAGTTTTAAATGACACAAAACCTCCTAAATGTCGTCCTTTGAAAATGGGTAAAATTGTTCTTGCTGCCTCTGTCTTTAACATTAAAAGAATTATACTTATTCTTTAAACATAAATGCTAAGCAATATCCCAGAAACAAGAATAAATGTTCTAATGTGGATGATAGCATTTATAAATATAAGGCATTGCTCCCTAACTTTATATTTCCTGATACAATAAGGTATTTGACTCAAAACACCTATTGCTTAAACAACTTTTTTTTTCATGTTTAAAATAGCCAAAATAAATCCCAGCAAACTTCTACAAGATTCAGTCACTTTGAATTTACATTTTGATGTATCTTGCCTCCTAAATGTTTCTATACATTAAAACATTAAACTTTCCCCCATAATATTCTGCCTACAAGTGCCTCTCTAGCGCTGGGAAGAGATCCATCCCTCCTCAGCACACTCAGTTTGGCTGGAAACCACTTGTTATAACTTCTCCTTGACAGCCAACCAAATTTTATAAAATTAAAACCTCTTCATCTTATGATGTTCAACACATTTATTATGTAAACTGAAAAAAAAAAGGGGAGGCATTATCTCTTTTCAGTGACAGTTCAAGTAGCAAAGATTCCTGCCAAAGGTCTCAGAAAAAACAACAGGGAAATCATGTTTTCATAAATTAATTCTTGGAGCATAAATTTGATGATATACCTTTCTAAAGAAGTTATCCAACATGCCCTTAGATAGTTTGGTTATCAAATTAAGACCACAGTGAGGCCTTCAGGTATTATATTATACTTTTATTTTAGTGAGAATCTCTCACACTGCTTGTGAAAATGACAGGCAGCCCAGGACTTCCCACTGATAAAAAACCCAGCCACATATCACCAAATTAATCCTGGAAAACAAGACTGCAAAACCATTATTTTCACATAGTTGTCAACATCCTGATGCCTAGTTTATAAAACACTTAATGCTGGGAGAAAAAAAAAAGCACCTTAAATTACATTTTCACCTTGACTTCAGTAACACACACTTGAGTTTAGAAGTTCATCTAAAACACTTACCGGAGAAATAACACCAAGTGCCTGTTACAGAAGAATAAACCAAATTCAAGAACAATTAACATTAAAAGGAAATTACTCTTTTCTTTGAGAATAAGGTGTAGAACACTCTCAGATTCAACAAGAATCACCTTATGTGTTTCAAAGATAACAATGAAAACAATACAAATAAAATAAATTCATAATGTAACTTCAAAATTCCAGTCACTTCCTCACAAAAAACTCTTTCATCACTGCATCTGAACAGGAGTAATTTAAATTTAAATTAAAATAGCTAGAAAAGATTAGATTTGCTCCTGCCTTTGCAGTTCATTCCTTTTCTGACATGGGACTGTTCTCTACAACTGGTTTTTGAAAACAACGTATAGGGTTTTTTTAAAAAATCTCACAACAATTGTTTTGCATCCTTTTTGTTTTTGTTTTTGTTTTGTGTGGTGTTTTGTTTTTTTCCAGAAAACACTCTTCCCAGCTGTAGCTTTGTGTTCTCTCTGCTGAAAACAAATGGCTGCAAAAGTGTGAGTATTAAGATGTGAGTGTAGATATTGTTTATGAGAACAGAAAAACTTTATGTCCTAACATCAGTGGAAGGATGATAGAAATATTTTATTTCAACACTTAAACTTCTCCCACTGAACTGGATTAAACAAACAACACCTACTGAGACTTCACAGATTAAAAAAATCAAAATTTTCAGGTTGGTCTGCCAAGAAGATTACAACAGGCATCCCAAATGGAGGAAGAGCAAGATGGCTGCTCTAGTCCCGAAGTGTAACCACAGCAATTGTTGAGTTTTGCACACAAAAGTGGCTTGAAACTCAGACTTCTAACAAGAATGTCACATGGTGAGTTTGAAAGTAGCCCAGCTTGGATTTTGTAACTTCTGGCTGCTTTCCACATACAGTGAACATGTATTAAGTAATTCCTTTGAAGATTCCATGTGCAAATTTATAACAGTTCACTGGCAAGAAACTAATGCTTCACACTCCCCCACAAAATACTGCCATGTCATTCACTTCATTCCCATCAAGATCTCACTGACTCAAACAGAAAACTGACACTAAGAAAAACAAGGTGCAGAAACTGTAATTACAAAATTAAAAAAAAAAAAAAAGGCAAGACAAAAAGCACTATTATCAGGATAGTTATTACTTTTCCATTATTCATGGTAACTTGTAAATATATGTAAAGTTACATGGATGAGGACAGGAAATCAGAAGGTGCTCATGATATTAACCTGTTTACAGTCAACACGCACACACTCGCTCAACTATTTCTACAACTAGTTATTTGCAAATTTTAAATGAAAAAATACCAATGGCATGTTACCCAGTTTAGAAGAACAGTCGCTGAGAGACCTTGCAGAATGTATTTAATATAAAACACATTTTTATTTCATACATTATTGTATGTGACCTGCTTGCTCAGTGAGAAATTAATGAAACTACTAAAATCTCAGACTCCTATGGTTACAAATTTTGATTTACCCCGGAAAGAAAAGCAAGTCCAAAGTGATCTCAAAACTCATGTTTCATAGCAGTTTTTACATTTTTTTTTCCTTTTCTCTATCACTGGGTAATTGAAGTAGCCAGAACAAGTAGTCATTTAAATCCTTGTTTCGTTCTAGACCTGTCCCACAGGGGAATCCTGCACACACGAGCACCCCAGTATATTAAAAGAAACAGATCTAACAGGATTAACTTTCAAGATGTGAAGTGCATTGATTTTTTTTCGGTGAAAGCCACAGGAAAGAAAAACATCCATGGATTCAATATTTTTAAAAGCTTCACCGTGACTGGTAGGACAATATAAGTAGGAGGACAATAACATCAGTAGAGTCAATACAGTCACTAACAAGGAGTTACCAGAATCCCCTCATTCCTAGTGCTTTATACGGTAACAAAAATTTAGTTGTTTTATGAAAGTTTATGTTACCTTACCTAGTGAAGAACACCCAAGAAAGTTGTTTTCTGAAATTCAGAAATGATACTCTCAATAATATGAGAACTCTTTAAAAATACCTGTTACATAACCTGGGGAAAATACATCACTCACTCTTGAAATTATCTGTATAAATGTTACTGATGGCCCAGAAAAAGACCAACTCTATGAATACAAATATTTTGCTGAGGGATAAATTATAAGCTTAGACACTCAAATTATTGTCTTGATTTGAGAGTCATCAATATTAGCCTGAAGAAGATGAAAAAATGAAGACAAAGAAAAACCCAACCCTAAAATGTACGCAGGTTTTCACTGTACTACTGTCAGATACCAGCGAGGGAACTCAAGGTAATTAAGTTAATGTGCATATGC